TGACAGCCTATTCTAGATCCAACTACAGTAAATTCTCCCGAATTGTCCCTCAGCTTGGAAGCGAAAGTGGACAATTTGGGAAGAGGAGATACGATTACTCGAACCTCGCGGCTCGTTTCCACAGTCGTTCATAATTAAAATTAAACTTTAGATTTAAAAAATTGTATCAGGCTTAGATATCGCTGTCCTAAAATCATATATTAGAGCAGCAGCTTCCTCTAAATATCGACGAAAAAAAAGACCAGCATCCGCAAAAACAAATGGTCGACTGATCAAATTCGGCGACGACAAAACCGGGAGCTCCGAGAGTTTCGCGAGCGTCCGGGTTGTTTCTTGAACTCGTAAAAATTGAAATCGACACTCCGGGAGTGGAATCGAGCCGGCGGCGACCCGGGTGTCGGCTCGGCCGTGCATCGGGCTCGCCGACCGAGAGAGAGAGCTCGTAAACTTGGAGCCCGGGAGTGAAGGTGTATCGGAAAACCGGAACGGAAATATTCGTCGGTGAATTAGGGCGACCTTGTTATAGGCGGCGAAACCGATAAACAGACTATTACTGTTCCTAAATGTGGGCAAATTACGACAACCCTTAATGTATCGTGGCAACCGAAATTGATACGCCCGCGCGCACAGCCACTCGGCGTAATATATGGTAACAACCGCGCCTCCTGTATCGCTGATGCCGCCTCTTGAACTTTCGGTAAAACTGCTCAAGAATTCATCGCCGTGGATTCTGACTGGAACGCAGGCCTTGATCCGACACGGTTCTAGTCGGGAGTTCGAATTAGGTGTAGAGTAAATTCTCCACAATTGTCCCTCAATTGTAAACAAAAGTGGATAATTTGGGAAGAGGAGATACGATTATTGGAGTCTCACGGCACATTTTTATAGTTTTTGATAATGGGCAATTAAAAAAACGAGCTGCGAGGCTCGAACAATCGTATCCTCTCATCCCAAGCTGTCCATTTTCGTTCCCAAGCTCATGGACAACGCGAGAGAAATTTTCGCGCGCATAAGTTGTCTGGCACAACGAGTCGCATTCAGGGTCGCGGGTTTTACGTATTTACCGAAGCCGATCAATAGGCTAATAAATCGACGGAATTAGGGGTCCATACGGTTAGGGCTGCGCAATAGCTGCCCGGGGACGTATTAGCCGCCGCATGACTCAAATCTGTAAGTCGCGGCACGACGCATTCGATTTATCAACGTAGGATGATAACTTCAACTTCAGCCGTGTGAAGTTATTTATCGAACTCATTAGCACTTTGTGCCGCGAGGATTTTCAAGCGATTTCCCGTAATTCCCCGGCACGATCGAACGCACGTGGAACGTGGACAGCCGGTGAACAGGCTCGAACTTGTTAATACGTTGTTAGAAACAATTGAAAAAATTGCTCGTTATAACGGGACTCGATCGAACGGTGCATGCTCGTCGTTTTCAATGGAATTTCGCAATTCGCGTGGTGCTCGCGTTAAGTCATCGAACCGGTCGTTCGGATCCTCGTGAAATTCTGAAGCAGAAACGGCGCGAGAAAACGGACAGGTAAAGCGAAGTTCCCCGGGGTCCGGGAGCGGAATGAAAGGAGGCATTTATTTCCTCGCGATGACTGAACAACGCTGTCGCGATGTATCACGCTTCTGAAAAGGATCGATCGTAATTTACAATGGACAGAAGTAAACTGCATTAAGTGGCTTCTTGCGCAACTATCTTGTTACTTCTCTCGCGCGATGCGCGCAACCATCGCATTCAACCTTCCCTCCGCGGACGGAACGCAAACGCGTAGTTAGCGAGCGACGCTGACAAAAAGACCTCCGTCCAATCTTTGCACTCGTTTCCTCCTCGTTTCCTCTTTGCACACGCTCTCTGATCAGCAGTTAGCGACCAAAAAAGCAGCGGTGATTATCTCTCGGAAGGAACATTTATAAAACCACCGAACGCGAATCAATCGGCACGAAACTTCGTCGGCGAAAGCGTCATGAGAAACGCCTAAATTCGTCGCCTGTATAAATCTAGTCGGCCACGGCGCATTGAAGCAGCCTGTCGAGAGCCAACAATCGTTCTCCCTCTAATTCCTCGAGCGTGACGCGGCCCACTATTTGTCGCGAAAAGACGCGGCGAATCAACAGACACACGCAGATAGCGAATAGTATTTTATTCTCCGCGTCATTTGGGCTAATGGATACCGGTGGATACCTCGCAGAATTTTATCGACCGTTTTATACCGGCGGAAGAACGTCTTTGGGACTTCACGAGCCGCTTTCGGCTCGATAAAACGACGCCGGTGCTCGTCCATGGCTAGGCACGACGCGGTTAGGTTCACACGAGATCTGTTGTATCTTCGTTTGGAAGATCATGCTTGTTGGATTGCGAAGTAGATCATAAACCGAGGTTGGTAATTTAGAAGCGATCTTTAGGTAGAGCTAGCTAGTTGGATGCGGGATTTTGGTAGAAGCAACATATATGTGTCCTTAAGTAGGGCTAGAAAATAAGGCTAAGGTTATAGCTAGATCTAATGAGTTAGGCCTGGACTTTAACTAGAGGTAGCGAGATGAAGATAGCTTGCAGCTGGAGTTCGAAATTTAGGCCAAGCCATAGGGCTAACAATTTGGGTTTGACTCTTAGTTAGGGTTAGCAAACTGGGTCTGGTCTTCGCCTAGGGCTAGCAGAGTGAAGCTGGCATAGCTAGGACCAGCGATTTGGGCCAGGCTTGTACATAGAGATATCACTTTGGGTCAAATCTGCGTCTGGAGTCTGAAATTTAGGCCAAGCCTGTAGATGAGACTAATAATTTGGGTTCGACTCATAGTTAGGACTAGCAAATTTGCTCTTGTCTTCGCCTAGGGCTAACAGAGTGAAGCTGGCATAACTTGGGTCAGACTTGTATATAGAGATACCACTTTAGATCAAATCAGCGTCTGGAGCAACTACTTTGGGTCTAGGCTCTATCCAGGGCTCTATCCAGTCCGAATTTGGCGACGCCAGGATAAAGCGGCCATCACAACTGCGTCAAAATACGTGGTCGCGAGGATCGAATAGACGAAAGGCACAGAAATGGAACCGGTTGAACGGATCGAAACAGGCCCCCTCGCAGTCGACCGGGACGCGATGTCAGGGATTTAGCATAACGCAATGGAGCATCACGGAGAGCCGGAGTGGCAAGACAGGTGTGCCTAACGCAATTCCCGGTTGAACGGGATACCCCGGCGCGGCAGAAGGGCAGAAAATGATGTTCAGAGGCGGCTCGGGGTCTAGGGGATCGCGCGATCGGGCGGAAAGCCCGAGTTTGTTCAGGATTCTCGATCGGCAGACGAGTCTCCGTGAACGGGAGATCTCTCTCGACACCTGTCGATCGTTCGGGGATTAAAGAGGACGCGGAGGTAGACGCGGCAGGATTTAAAGCATCTTAGCTCGCCCGCAAACCTTGGCAAACAAGCCACTGACAGAGCGGAGGAGACGGTGAAAAAGAGAGGGGTCCGTCGGTTGCCGAGTGGAAGGGGAAGGTTCACACCCAAGGTCGGGCGGTTTCGGTAGGAAACTCCCTCCTGTTTACACGGCAAACGTTGGAAGTGATTCATCGTGGCTCGTTGCAGCTAAATCTGTTCCTGATTCACAGCGGCGCGCATCCATCCAGCGGGAAACGGGCTGCGTAGCGGAGGAACTCTCGTTACGAGACAGGTCGTTACCTCCGGGATTCTACGCGGAAGCTTTGTCCCCGCTTCTTCCCGTCGGCGCGGGAGCAAAACGCCAGAAACGGGACACGGGAACGTGCCCGGCTAACGTGCCCGACGCCCCCGTCGCCACCCCCGCGACGTGGAAACGTCGTCGAAACGACGGCCAGGCTATTTCGGACAAATCGATCCGCGACACGACCGGCGCGCATCGACTAGCACACGATTCTCTCTCCCTCGCTTCTCCCCCCCCCCCTCTCTCTCACTCTCTCTCTCTCAGTATCGACGAAGTTTCGCAGTTTGCCGCCCGGGGTTATTACGCGGGCATAAGCAATCGTCAAATGGAATATTAAATCAACCGACACTCCCACCACCGCCACCTGCTGCTCGCAACCGGTCAGACGCGGAGAGACAATTACACCGTAAAAGCTCCACACTTGGAACAGCTTCCGGATAAATGGCCGAGAAGAACCGCTAATTTATGCGACAGTCGAACCGATATTAACTGGGGCCTCCCGTGAGATATTGTCCCCATAGCGACGGGGCCACGTTTCGTGCGGGACCGCGTCGATACTAATTCTTGCGTGCGGAATTTCAACGCGGCACCCTTTTCTCAGACAATCGCGCGGAGATAAAAAGTTACGCGACCTGTTGACGAAACAGATGGGGGGGGGGGGAGCGTTTAGCAAGGAGACTGACATGGAGACCCGCTGGCGTGATTTCTGCATCTAGGGGGGCCGCTACACTGGCTAACTTTGCTGAGATTTTATCAGAGAATTTATCAGCCTATTGTAAGGGTTCTGCCTCGTGCTGACCATTTTAGGGTATCGCATTGAAAGGACTGACTTGTTTCTAAATTAAGTAAAGCTGGAAATCTTGCTAGGACACTGAGGTAACAGACAGATGCTGCTGGCGTTACAGAATGCCATAAGAAAGGTTAGCGTGTGTCTGCATCGAATAAGGGTTGAAATCTTGATAAGACAGTAGGGTACCTATCCGACTCGCAAACTTCAATGTACAAACTTCATTATGAATGTCAAACTTCAATCAGGACTCTAAGACAATAAAGTCGCTTTTGAAGAGTGTCTTGAAGTTGTTATCAAAAAGACATCGATAGCTATCAAAACTAACTGTACCATGCTTGAATCCTTAGATCGAATATACAATCCTCATCAATCAATGAACTAAAGGCACCGCTAAATCATCAGAATTCCTCATTCTCCTCCGACAGAAACTCATCAGAATTCTGTGACCGGTCAAGAACGTCATTTTCAAAGTATTCCTTAGGCGAAAGATAGCTTGTAGAAGATAACTAGGGAACACATAAAGACTCACCATGGTGTCTTTGATGTGCTCGACCGGTTGCAGGAGGACCGTAGCGCCGATGGGCCGATGATGATGCTGTTGCTGCTGATGGTGGTGATGGTGATGTTGCTGTTGCTGTTGCTGATGATGGTGATGTTGGTGGTGGTGGGGGGTGCAGTTGGCGATGTTGGTGCAGGTGCAGCTACAGGCGAGACTGCAGGCTTGCTGACCGCCGAAAAGGTGTCCGACCAGGCCGGGGGTGATCGCTGCTGCCGCCGCGTTGTTAATACTGTTCAGCAGTGGCGGAGGCAGGGACACCGCACCACCCGGGACGAACGGGTACGAGTGAAAATACGTGGTGATGGAGGAACGTGGCCCCTCGGCGCCGACGGTGTCCGCGAGCCAAGACTTGCTCGGTTGGAGGAAGAAGCTGCCGCCGCCGCGGCTGCCGGTCGCGGCCACCGACTGCTGCAGGCTCCAGAGGAACCTAGCGCGTTCCTGCGCGCTCCAACCACGCTCCAAGGACGCCTGATAGCGTGCTTCCGTCTTGCTCGGCCGGCCGGACTCGCACGGTGGCCACCACAGTTTGGCTGATTGTCGCCCCCCCTTTTTGTTTTCCGCCACCCGGGACTCTCTGGTCCTCTGTCGGCCGCCGGGTAGGTCGAACGCTCGGCCGATCCTGCCGAGTTCCGCTACCAACAGCTCGCTACCGTCGAGTGTCGCCGTTGCTGGTCGTCCGGACGATAGACGGGGGGCTTGGCTTTTTTTTCACCGACCTTACTTTTCTAGCTACTGGTTACGATATACAGACATACACCCGGTCCTATCGACGGTTACTTTTAACTGACTTAGGCTAATCTCTTCTTACGCGAGAGACTCCTTCGCGATACACACGCACACGAAGATCAGCGATAGTGCGGGGGCGGGGGGAGACAGTTTAATCCTAAACGAGCGCGGTGCACGCCGAGCTGGTACAAAGTGATGATTGTCAGTATGTGAGCGAATAAGAGCCGGGTTGGCGAGATGCTGCGCGTTACAAACAGAGGGGCCGAGTGCAAAAGGTGCGAGAAGGGTTGGTGGTGGTGTAACGCGACGCGTGTAAGTGCGTGTCGAGGTGCCTTTTTTTCGGGGGTGGGACAGCGCTCGCTGGAGG